TCATGCCTACAGCTTCAGGGGCTCCAGGACCCCCATTCATGCCCTGGTCCAGGCAAAGCCCAGGCTGTAGCCCCGATGTGCTGCTTTCAGTCCTGCAGCTCAGTCTTGGCTCCGTGCGTCCACCCAGTGCTCGTGGGCTTTGCTCGGGGATGACCAGACGGGTGATGGCCCAGGTTGAGGGCAATGTGTCTCCCCTCCGACTGGAGCAGCCAGCACCCCCAAGCCTCTCCAGGGCTCTGGCTTCGCCTTTCCAGTGCTTTGTCCCTGTGCTGGGCCTCAGGGACTTGGACCTCAAGCCTGGCGGAGGGCCGTCTCCTACTGCCTCCGAGTTGGGAATGGTTCCTTGGGGGTGAATGTGGAGCAAGGGGAGGCTCTGCTTTCCCGGCCTCGATTCAGGGAACAAAAGAAGCCAAACTCCCGGCTGCTGAGTGGACGGCTGAAGGGTTTTATGTGCTTTTGGGGAAAAAATACATTTTGCCTGTTGGAAAAAAAAATCCTCTTTGAGCTCTCCAAAAACAGAAAGCAGAGAAAAAGCACTTGTGGTCTGGTGTCGTCTGTGCCCTCGTGACTGGGGCTCGGGCCATACCTGGGGCAGAGGCCTGCTTTCCTCTCCTCCCCGGGGCTCTTTCTGGCTGTGTGTTAGTGGGCAAGTCACTGCCTGTCTCTGAGCGGATCAGGTGAGGGTCACTGGCCAATGTTCTTTATCTTGAGGGTCCTCCAGAGCTGCTGGGGTGTGTGTTGTGGTCCTTGACTTAGCAGAGGCCCTAAGACACAGTGTCTCAACATGTGGCATTTGGGTTGCTAACGTCAAGCACCAGGGCCAGCTGACAGGGGCGCCTTTTTAAACAGGACCTCCACCCACTGTTCCAGTTCTGCAAAACCAGACTCTGGGAATGGGGCCCAAGAATCTGGGGGCAGAGGTGAGCCCCAGGAAGAGTGAAGCCCCTTGACTGCGGGTGAAGCCCTAGGCTCGAGGCCCTGTTCCTGAGAGGACAGGCCATTGGGGTGACGGGTGGGTGGGGGCAAGTGGGGGGCAAAGGGGCAGAGGCTGTAGGGTACAGAGACCCTGGGGGGGGCAGAGGGGCCTCCAGGAGAGATGAGGATGGGATGGAGGCCGAGGACCTGAGACTAGGTGCTGCTCTCGGCCAGTGGGTCAGGTTCAGCACACACCTCGGTGAGTGCTGGGAGTGGGGTTGGGATTGGGCTTCTCTGGACCAGCAGGGTGGCTTGTGTCACACTTGTCACCAAGTGAGTGTGAGCCAGAAGCCTGCATGCTGCTTAGCACCAGGCCGATGATGACCTGCAAGCCCTGCTAGGCCCCAGGCGCTGCTCATGGCTAGCCTCCACGCAGCCCTGACCTGTGCCCACCCCATATTGCAGATGGGGAAGCCAAGGCACAAAGGGGACAAGTCACCTGTCCACAGCTGGGGCGTGACCCGGCCTGTCTGCTGCCGAGTCTAGGCACTTAGCAGTTACGCGCCACAGCCGGAGCACAGTCCAAGGAGCGGTCCTTGAGCATGGCCCTGCTCTGTCCAGGACGGGACCTCACCCCCTGGGCCATTCCGGGGTCTTCCTTCCAGTGTTCCTGGCCACTCCTGTGCTGGAGCTAGGCCAGCCTGCGGCAGAGGGGGGCCTGCTCTGGAGGAGCCCAATAAGGCAGGAGACAGACCCCCGTGAACCCACAGCCCAGGGTGTGCCGAGCACTGTGAAGGGCCTGGGAGTCCAGGGGTGGCACCCGTCAGGCCAGGGAGGGCTGAGGGAGAGCTGAGGAGTGACTGTGGGTCAGAGTCCAGCAAGGCAGGGCCACGCAGGAAGGGTGGGGCGGTCTGCAAGGAGGAGAGGAATGATCCTGCAGAGTGCAGGGGAGGGTGTTCGCCATCCCAGGTGCTGGTCGCTGGGGTGACCCAGGTCCCAGGACCACTGAGAGTCCTGAGTCACTGGACAGGGCGCCAGGTGACTGGACGGTTTCTTAGTCTAGCTGTGAGCCTCTGGCCCAGCTGAGAAGTGGGCAGGACCAAGACAAGACCCTATTTGTCTTTGGAGGTAAAACCCCACACCTCTCGCTGCCCAGCCCGCTCTGCAGCGTCTCATCACTCTTGCTCACCAGCTGGACACGACGCAACCTGCGTTCCACACCCAACCCTGGAGGAGACGCAGATCTTGGAGGAGTCTATTGCTTCCTCTCTAAGACTCGCATTTTTTTTTTGTACCAGGGATTGAACTCGGGGGACACTCGACCACGGAGCCACATCCCCAGCCCTATTTAGAGACAGGGTCTCACTTATTCTTGCTAACACTGGCTTTGAACTCACCATCCTCCTGCCTCAGCCTCCCATGCTGCTGGGATTACAGACGTGCGCCCCCACACCTGGCTCACATTCTTGAATTTTTTTTTTTTTTTTGCACTGGGGATTAAACCCAGGGGCACTTTACCACTGAGCTACATTCCCAGCTTTTTTCATTTTTTTGAGACAGGGTCTCACTAAATTGCTTAGGGATTCACTGAGTTGCCAAAGCTGGCCTCCAATTTGCGATCCTCCTGCCTCAGCCTCCTGAGTCTCTGGGATCCCAGGTGTGTGCCACCATGCCCAGCTCACATTCCTGATTTGTGAAAGAGTGGAGAAAGGTGACTTTGGAGGTCCTTTCCAGCTTGAGCACCCTAGGGTCTTAGGTAGTTATAGAATTTCGTTGTAGAATTCAAAGACAGCAGCACACAGCGGTGCAAGCCTGTAATCCCAGATGCTCAGGAGGCTGAGGCAAGCTTAGGACAAGGTGGAGGCCAGCCTGAGCCACCCGTGAAGCCCTCTCTGAACAAAAAGGCTGCGAGTGCAGCCCAGCAGCAGAGCGCCCCTGGTTCAATCCAGCCAGTCAGTAAGCCCAGGCAGACAGACAGACAGACCCAGCGCTGGCTTTAGTAGGGACCCCCCCCCCAACTCGTCATCACCTCCTCACTGTAGAGGTTCCCCGCAGTAGAGTCGCCGGGTGCTCAGGCACTTTGTCTCTCATCTGAATGAAGACAGACGCCCCTCCCCCAGGCTGCACACTGGAGCTGGGTGGCAAGCTGGAAATGACCTGGTGTAAATGTCTTCTTCAGCCTCTGCGGCCGCTTGGCCACTCACTCCTGCTCACGTCAGAGCTGCCTCCTGTGGCGTCTCATCCGAGGCTCCTGCAGGGGCTGGGACTTTATCAGATGGTTTCTAAGTGACAACTGGCAGGCAGCAGGTCTGGCCTGGAGGAGGGGCTGGGGGGCCTGAGGTCCCCCAGAGTGAGCTGGAGGGCCTGCCCTTGGGGAGAGGCCCCTGAAGGGACAGTGTGGAGCAGGCGTGGTGACCGAGTTCTCCAGGAGCTGGTTTCTCACAGGCATCTGGGGACATCTCTATTGGGGACATCGCTAAGAATCTGCTCCAGCACTGAGGAGTGACTGGTGAGCACAGCCTGGGACCTCCCCTGGCATCAGGGTTTGCCATGTGACGGCTCCAGGCTGCTGCTGCGTGTGTGACTCTCGTGCCTCAGGGTTGGGGACAGGGTGGAGGGGTTGACTAGGGGTCAAGTTGCCTGACAGTCACTAGGTGGCTTTGGGGGTGGTGACGCAGGGCAAGGCCTTCTTGTAGACTTGCTGCTCTGCCATTGTTGTGGGCCCGTCCCTGGGCTCAGTCTGCCCTTGTCGGTGGGAAGGTGGAGGTGGCCCGGGGCCTCGTCAGCTCTGACACTGGGAGCTGGCTGTCAGGGCGCCATGCCGCCTAGACCAGGGCCAATTGTTTCTCTTCTCTGGGAAAAAGGAGTCAAGGGGCACAGGACCCACRGGGGTTTGTGGGAGTGGAGGGGAAAGGCCTCTTGGGACATCGGGGAAGGAGGTGGGGCAGGGTTGATGCCGTGGGGATGAGAACAGGGACTGGAGCAGGGTCCTCAGGGAGTCGGTGGCTGCCACACAGGAGGGCTCCCGGGTCACTCCCAGGACCAGGGAAGGGAAGACGCGCAGCACAGCTGCTGGATGTGGGCTGAGCAGGACTCTTGGCCCCTGCGGCTCCTTCCCACAGGGTCCCTAGGAGACTGGGGACACCCTCAGCACTGTCCCCGGAGCCTGAGGAAGCTGCGTACTGATCCCCTGGCTCCTGTCCATCTGGCTGAGTGCTGCCCCTGGGAGCATCCTTCTGGCCCTTGCAGTCTGGCCTGCCGGGGGAGCCCTGGTGTGAGCTGAGAAGGCCCGGGGACACGAGCCGGGCATCCATGGCCCTCCAGACTGAGGGACAGGCTCCGAGAGGTTGGATGGTTCCCAGTCAGAGACTGAGTTTCACTGGCTGTGTCCCTCCCTGAGGGTACCAGATCACTGTGGAAGGAGGGACGCCAGGTGTCTAGGACATAGCCTGCTCCATCTCCGCAGCCTGGGTTCCACATCTGGAAGATGGGACAGTCCCCACCCAGTCCCCACCCCGCAGGGCAGCCTGAGAATGAGGAGCTAATATTTAAAAACTCTTATCCTAACCCATCCCTGGGGATCCGGGAGTAGGGGCTGCTATCTCAGAAGGCAGGGCAGGCAGGCTCGGCACCTTCAGAGACCTTTCTGTCCCCATCTGTCATCTTACTGCAAGGACTTCCAGTCTGATCCCTGGGGCCATGTGCTAGGACCCTGTCCCAATGAGCCTGTGTCTCCTGGGAGGTGTCATTGATGAATTCATCCGTACCGAGGATACAGTGAACTGGCTGGGGGTGGGGGGCTGGGCAGCTGTGTTCTGATTGCTTGGATTTATTTATTTATTTAGAGAGACAGAGAAGTGATGAAAGGAGAGTTTCTAGAAAGGGCTTGTGCATGGTGCTCTTTGGGTCTTGGCCCTTAAGAGATCTGCTCACCCCAGGAAGGTGGGGCCGCCCAGCGCCTGGTCTGAGTGAAGGTTGATCAAGGTTGGCTGAAGGAGCCATCTCGTCCGCTTTGTCTAAGACGAGGCCAGAGGCGGCCTCCTTCCCTCCAACCTGCTAACTGCTCCTCTCTCCCCCTCTTTCAGGAACCTCTTGGACAAAGACATGTTTTCCAAGTCTGACCCACGTAAGTCCTGCTCTGACAGTGATAAGGGTAACAATGACAGCGGCCACCTATGCCTAATGACAGCAGCCAGCGCTGGCCCTTATGGAGCATTAAGTATGTGCCAGGCACCGCTCCCAGTGTGACAGGGCTAGTCAGTGCTTCCTTGATAGTGTCCAGAGAACTGGGGACCCTGCTCAGCCCCCACGCTTATGAAGCCTCAGCGCAACCGAGCAATTGGGAGGGGCAGCAATTGGCTGGCCTTAGGGTGTCTGGAGCCAGAAGGTCCCCATCCCAGGGGAACCCGTGCATTTTGGGGCTCCAGTTTGCTGGGATCTGGTGGGACCAGCACTGATTTTGGAGAGCAGGTTCTGGTGCCGAGCACTGCTGCCCATGGATGTGACCTTGGATCAGGTCTTCGGGCACCTCTGAGACTCAGTGTTGCCATCATTAAAGAGGGGCTGAGGATGATCACCGGCCTCGTGGGACTGACGGTGCAAGTGGGTTATCTCCACCAGGCCTCTGCCACCCAGGCCTCCGTCCTGCTCACCTCCGACCCTTGCTATGGCCTGGGAAGGAATGGCTCCTGACCCCCCCCAAATAGTGCCCCTCCAGACACAGCTGTGGTCCAGGCTTGGAGGCCAGGCATGCAGACCACTCACCAAGACGTCCCTCCCCGGCCCAGGCCCACCCGAGCAGTCCTGCTGGAGCCTCTGAGCACCCCGTCCAGCCAGGGCCCTCCCCGTCTGGGTCCCCCTTGGCCTGGGTGTTAACCCGCTGTCCTTCTCTTCTCCCGCAGTGTGCGTCATGTATACCCAAGGGATGGAGAACAAGCAGTGGAGAGAGGTAGGTGCAGACCTTTCCCAGCCTGGAAGCTCCAGCAGGGCCCCGGCTGCCCGCTCTGTGCTCTGTGACTCTGGAGAGATCCCCCTGACGTGTCTACCTGCAGCACCAAAGCCCCGTCAGGCCAGCCACACCAGCTGGACTGCTCTTGTCCCTGCTGTTAGAGAGTGAGGCTGAAGGTGGCCCAGGCAGCTCTTGTCCTGTGTGCCCCAGTCTGAGGGGGACAGAGGGAGTCCCAGCACATTGTGATCTCGTTGGTGGCCCCGGGGAACATAGCCCTGGATCTTGTGCCCAGCAGCTTCCCTCCCTGTGCTTCTGACTAACGGGAGCTGGCTTCAGCGAGGGCGTCCAGGCCCAGAACCCTCTGCGACTCCTGCTTGGAGGAGTCCCCCTCCTCAGCTTGGCTTCCAAGCGCTCTCATAGGACACATTTTTGCAGCCTCTGCTCATTTCCCTCGCCCAGACCCATGGCTCCCCGTGCCTTGCTCCTCCTCACAGGGCTATGAACAGAGGGCAGACTTGGAGAGCCACCCGGGAGGGAACAGGGCCTCCTAGGTGCTGAGGGTGCTGCTAAAACAGAGTTAAATTCTGTCCCTCTCTGCCCAGGGCTGTGCATGGCTCCTGTCTAACAAAGCTACAGGCCCTCTGCTGGCTCAGAGGCCGCCTGACTTCCTCTCCCTGGCTGACCTGCCTTAGGGCCCAGCCCTCCAGCCTCCACTCTGTGCCAGCCAGCCAGGCCGCCTCCTGCCCCAGGGCCTTTTCACTTGCCGTTGTCTTTCCTGAATGGCCTTTTCCCACAGGTCCCTGTGGCCCCTCGGGGTTCCCTGAGGTCTGGACTCCCTGTTGCCCTCTGGAGGCCTTCCTTGGCCCCCAGTCTAACACCGCAAGCTCCCACACTTGCTTCCCCTCCTGCTTTTTCCTCTCCTGTCACTGTTCTCGTCCCCAGTGCCCTGGTTAGGTATTTGTTTGGCCATGTGCTGGCCCCACCAGGGTAGGGACTTCATTGGCTTCATCTGCAGCTTCATTTTGAGCACCTAGGACAGTGCCCGGCACACGGCAGGTGCTTTGTAGATGGCTGTTAAGGAAATGAATGGGTTGGGGGAGGGAGTAGGTGTTCCCAGCTCCCAGGACATGGCGGCTGTCCTCTCCTCCCCACCTCCGCCTCATTTGCCCCCCACCAGCGACAAGCTCTCGTGCGGGAGATTGTTCTCAGGAAAGGATGGGGGTTGAGATGAGGGGTCCTGGAAGCCCGGGGCTCCTGTTTGACTAATGAAAAGTACTGCCCCTCCTTTCTCTCAGAGGAGAGGCTCTGGCCCCAAGCTCAGGTCCAGCCTGGGAGGTCAGCTGGCTTCGGTGGCCTTCCCAGTGACTGGAGACTGAGCTTGCTCCTTCTGGTGATCAGAACAGGCCCAGGAACGGGCCAGAAGGGCTTTGCAGAGGTGAGCCCCACCTCCTCACGCACACCAGGAGGGAGACCCCACACCAGGAGGGAGGCCCCACACCAGGAGGGAGGCCCCACACCAGGAGGGAGGCCCCACACCAGGAGGGAGGCCCCACACCAGGAGGGAGGCCCCTGGGCTCGGGTGGAGAGGCGGCTTTGGCCTCCACCAGAGAGGGAAGGCGCCCCAGGGCCTAAGGAGGCAGCGGTGGCTGTGAAGAGCAGGTGTGGCACAGTCCCCAGGCTTAGGAGGGCTCCTGAGAGCTGCAGGGGAAAGTCCTGAGGACTCCCCAGTGAGGGGGGAACTCACAGGACAAGTGGGGTTCCTGACGCATGTGGCAGGGAGGAATCTCAGCCCTGGTGAGTGAAGGCAGAGACTTAGGAAAGCAAGGAGAGCAAGGTGGGCCGTCGGGAGCGAGAGCCGTGCTTTCGGGGCTCCTGGCCCTTCTTTTAAAGGGAACTTGCTGAGGGGTGGGTTTGGGAAGGCGTGCGGGGATGACATCAGTCTGGTGACCTCAAGGTGGTGTGTGTACGGTGGCCCGGCAATGCTCAGGATTCTTAGACTATGTGACCTCCATTTTCTGATCAGTAGATAACACTGGAAAGTCCCCTAATTGTAGGTTTCTCAAAATATCGACTCTCTCTTTGCTTAATCTGTTTGCTGAGGGCTTAATTCACACTGATGAAGGTAATTGTCATAAGTAAGTGAATTTGTGGTCAACTTCAAGATTTACAGATTTCCCAAAAACTTAGAGTGAAGGCTTGGTGCCTGGAGGGTACATGGAGACGCAGGTTCTGTTTCCCTGTCCTTCCTCTAGGTCTCCTTTCTACCTGGGGGTGTTTTGTTTCGGGTACTGGGATGGAACCCAGGGGCACTTAACCACTGAGCCACATCCTCAGCCCTTTTTGACATTTTACTTAGCGACAGGGTCTCACTGAGTTGCTTAGGGCCTCTCTAAATTTCTGAATCTGGTTTGAACTTGTAACCTTCCTGCCTCAGCCTCCCAAACTGCTGGGATTACAGGCGTGTACCACCGTGCCGGGCTCCACCTGTTTTATATCTCTTCTACCCTCTCTCACAGGGACAGGGCAGTAGTGTACAAAATGACCCACACCCAGGGCCATGGGTGGGGAGCCCTCCCAGATGACATGGGAATAGCCAGCAAAGCTGTGCTAACTCAGATTTTCTTACCAGCTTCCCCTCCTGGCTGGTGGCCTGGCTGGAACATCACCTGCCCTGCTCCACCCCCCACCCGACCTTGGCAGGAGCAAGTGTCTGACAGGGTGAATTTTATCTAAAAAACGTGGGAAATATTTCCACAGGGGCCGGCTGAAGTTACTTTTTCACCCTGGCCAAGACTCTGAGCCCATTGAAGCATAAACCAGATTGCTGGGGAAACGTTTAGCCTTCTTAAGTGAACTAATTACTTCTGAGGCCTTTTGGCCAAGCTTCTGAAAAACAGGAATGTGCTAATGTCTTGCTGATTCATTCAGGAAAGTCTGGAAGGGCCTCTTCAGCCGGGGCACGGTGTGGCGGACAGGACCGTTAATTACATTCTGTAATTGAAACTTGTCTCCTTTTGGTTCAGGGTCCCCAATTGTCCCAATCCCATTACTACCCACAGGGAGGGTGGGTGGCCCCCGGGGGTGAGAAACACCTGTGCTTTGCTCCTGGCTTCATTTATTTCTGAAAGTGGAACCTGGAGCAATTTGTGGAACTTCTCTGTGCCTCAGTTTCCACATGTAAGATGGGGTACACCTGCGGCAAGGGGGAACCAGATGCTGGAGGTAGTGCCCTGTGTGTGATCTGCGCTCCATAAACACCATTCACTGCAGAATGTCAACCAGAGGGTCTGGGGCCTTGTCCCTCTCTCCTCTGTCAATATTTACAACAGAAAGCATCTACCAGGTGCCAGGACCTGGGGAGAGAGGGAGCTGGGTCGGAAGAGCAGAGCTTCACTGGAAGCAGGAGTGGGAACCAGGAGGTTTTCTGGCCCTCGGGGGAGATGCGCGTGTGAGTAATCTAACAGAACAGCCGAGGATGTATGGATGGAAAGAAACGGGGTTTAGGGGTGGCAGAGCGACAGCCAGAATGCTAAAGCGTTTTGACAGTTCGGTGGATGTTTTAAATGGCATTTGAATATGAACACAAATGTTTGGCTCGGGGGCTAATGATGCAGCACAAGGACAGTGGGGTTGGAAGGACTTCCCCCTGGACAGCTCAGCCTCTTGGTCCTCCTGAGGGCAGGACTAGCTTCAGGGTACCGAGTCAGGATGCTGGACCCCAGGACTATCACAGTGAGCACCTGGGTTTCAGCRGAGCACCTGGATTTCAGCAAGGCCAGGACACGGAGCACAAAAGCACTTAGCAAAACAGTGGCATCTGCAAAGACACAGAGAACAACTATTATGCGCAAGTCAGCCCAGGTACCTTGTCACTGGGGTTGTAATAAAGGAGTGAGTGGGTGTGTTCGTCATCGTTCCAAAACTATAACGAAACACCGGAGATAATGAATTTGTAGAGAGAACAGGTTTATTTTGGCTCCAGTTTTAGAGGTTCTGTCCGTGGTCAATTGACTGTTGCTTGAGCCGTGATAAGAGCACATGGCAGAGAAAAACTACCCACATGGCACACAAAGAGGAAAAAGAAGTCCCACAGTCCCCTTCAAGGACATACTTCTAGTAACCAAAGAATCTCCCTCTGGCCTACACCTCCCCAGTAGCACCACCCATGGACCCTCAGGATCATTCTAGATCTAAACTACAGGAGTGGGGTCCAAGGAAGCCACGGAGGGGTAGTGGATCACAGGGTGGCMATAGTGGGCAGTGGCCTCTGGACAGGGCAGGGGTCCTCATGGGGGGACAGCCCAGGCCACCTCATTTTCTTCCAGCCTCTGATCTCTGGCCAGTGTCCCCCCACCTTGGTGGCACCTCACTAGAAAGCCTCTGGCCACCACTGTGATCCACTCGACCAACCTCACTGAACACAGCAGTGTGGAGAAAGGCTGGGGGCACAGCCCTCCTGCAGGTGAGCCCTCGGCAGGTGAGCGGAGCTGGCCTGCAGTGGGCGAGGCCTCCAGAAGAGGAGCCCATGAAGATGGTCCTCCAGTCAGGCTGAGGGCAGCCGGGGTCACAGGTCAGCTGTCAGAGCTGGGGGAGTCCCTGGAGCTCAAGGAGGCTGACCCCACTGAGGGGAGGTGGCCAGGACCTGTGCTGAGCCTCGGGGGCACCCCTTGGGCACAGGCACCAAGTGGTTTCTGGGAAACATCCTGGAGTGGGAGGGGCGCTCTTCCTTGTCTGGTTCTCTGTGGGGACTGCAGAGGAAAGAGTCAAGAAGGGAGAATTTAAAGAAAACTCCAGAATCATCTGTGTATCGGCCCCTGGGACAGGCTGCCCTTGCCAGTCAACGGGCCAGTTCCCGCCACTCCACTTTAGCAGCAGACCAGCTCTCTGATCTTGGCCGAGATAATCCTCCTGTGACCTGGGAGTCAAATACAGGCACGGTTCTCTGGGCTGGGAACAGACCCCAGATTTGCAGAKGAGCTGACCCTGGGGTGTGGACGCGG